AAAAAGAAAAACAGTGGAAAAAAGAGTGGGAGAAAAACATCGCCTCATCACTGGCGGTTAGCTGTTTGTGCGTGGGTCCTAGAACGAATAATAGCAATCCATATTGACTCGACACTCGTCTAACGTGACACCGATGGAGGGGCGGAGGGCGACCGTGGATATCTCTCCGGCCCGTTATTGTGCCCTATCCAGCCGTTTTCCGACCTTATTCCTGCACAAATGGTACCAGAGATGGCTTCGAATTCAAACCATTTGCAAATCTCAGAAACACGACCTCAACTTATTCATCCTTGAAGAGGTATGAAGGTTTCCATTTGGGTGGTTAATGTTGCTGGATTGTTGTCTGGTTCGAACTCCATGATTATCGGATCCACTGGGGCAATGAAGGCCATGTCAACTTTGACGCTCGTTTTCAGTCAATAGAATCGTTGGGGTGCTAGGACTGTAATCCTCGATTCTACCCCTACTTTTGTCCAATGGCTTTAATTTAGTTTTTTATTCAAGACTTTGTAGCATTGATTGCATAATCATTCCTTACGATTGGTCCTGCCACCCTTTGAATTTCTGCTGAGAGTAGACCATGGACAGCAAGCTGAGCCCATTGGCAATGACTGTGGGATTCACTGTCTCCATCTCGCTGATCCATGATCGATGGCATTGCAACCGCTGTCTAACAGTCGACGTATCCCTGGGATTGAGCTCCCTGTCCTAAACAGTGAGCAGCATACAATGAGAAATGGGAAGCCTGGACAAAAAGACAATATCGACTTTCGCCATCTCGGGACTGCACGTCATAACTAAGGCAGTAGGATATTGAACAGTTTCCCGAGCCAATGCTTTTCGAGACATTCGCAAACTGAAGAGAAGATTCGACCAATTGAAGTAGTGCGGTAATGAATGTGCCGTACCCTTCTCCACCGAAGAGGAGAGAAATGCTGCCGCTTATACTGCCACTGCTCAACCTCCAGAAAGCATTGGTAAGGCCTACCTGCCTTGTAGTGGACGGCAGAAGGAAACCTTTGTACGAGCTCCCACATTCTTGACTAAAAACTTCTAGCGGGGAAACATATGGCCTGCAAGTTCAAGCTATCGGCATGAACATTCCTTCTAGCCGAAGCGGCCAGCTCCGGCCAAAGCTAACCGTGAACGACAAAACCGTATCATTCGATTCTCACAGCAGGATAAGTAGCTAGGAGCATTCGTAAGGTTCATATATGTATTGACTCCTCTAAACCGAGAGTAACGCTGCCACTTCATCCGTTTCGTCATCGCTTCCCTCATGTCTACGGCGAATGTTCAGGAAAAAACTTCGCAGATAACATCAAAAGCTTTTGTTTCTCGTACAGGCGTTTACCCCGAGTAGATGATCCCTCTGGATGTCGTAGCCGTACTCTGTTTCCATCTTATATGAGTTGATCCAATCAAAGTGATAGAGCTTCATAATAAGAAGGTGCGGATGGTATTTCTTTGTGGCAGCTTCATTATTGCTGTGGATTTTTATCTATTGTTACATTCTTCTGTGAAGCTTCGGGAGGGCCGTGCCCAAAGCGCTACGATGAAAGACACTTCATAATCAACGATCGAAACGTTTACGGGCTTAAAAGGAGACTATGGTGTGGGTGGGTATGAACTTGGACTACAGATTAACCATCTGAATGCAACGTGAACTGTCCGTTACATGTTATTAGCCGATGTGAATGAGTGGAGCTCAATACCCGAGACCACTCTAGGCAAGCCCATGTAGCCGCCCGGGTCCCAACATTATTTGATCCCATGAGCGCCGGCAATTAGAGGTATATCTATTTACAAACTATTTGGCAATAGTCGCATCAGTATGGTGCTTCAATCGATTTTCCCCTCCCCCAATGCAGAGTCCTTTCCGTCGCGTACTCAAAGGCCGGTTCGTTAAACATTGAACTTTTGATATCTGGTTCACCAAGGGATGCTAGGCATTCCGAGCCAAATACCGAAGTTCAAAGTTCAATGGCCATGTGAACTCCACCGTTCTGTCCATGTCAGAGTTCCCATTGATCAATTTTTCCCGATCACCCTCATGTTGCTTTCGATCTTTCTTTATCCAACGCAGCGGCCAGGGTTTTTGACGGATTTACTTGAAGCGCATTTTTGATGTTTTCCTCCTTTCGTGCATCCACTGATTCGGCATTCTTTTTTCTGTCTTCTTTTTATGTCTCGGCTAATTGCTTATAAACCTTCAAATATAAAACGGGGATAACGCTCTCTAAGCTGACCAGTGTCGCCAGCTTATTTCCTTTGCATTCTAATCCAACATAAATTGCCTGTGTAAGCACCAATTTATCATTGGTGTCCCAGGAATGGTTCCAGTCGGCCATGCCAAAGAAGGCTCTGGCGGAGCTATATTGAATCTTGGATCCGAAAGTACCTTCATCCGTGAAACTCCCGTGGATATGTGGTGGTGTAGTGTCGCTGTGGATGGCCTAGGCCATCGGTGGTCTGGGTTTCTTATCGATAATAAGCTCAAATAACTCCAACAATGCCCTATTCCGGGAAGATGCTCAACAACCGGCCGCTCTTCTCAGCGTCACTAGTCGGGCATCTTTTTTCTAAAAAAAACCAACGAAACTGGCAGTTATGGCATGTTTCCCGTCTGGCATTGTGATCGTTTGCCTTGAAAATGCATCTATTTCTGAGCAGTGCTTGAGTTATCTTCAAATCCAACCATTCCAACGAAGAAACTTCGAAGGAAATGGACTCTTCTGCGCGCTGCTATCTCACATAGTGCCTACAAGTCTATTTTCGCAGGCCTTTGCCCTAGATTCAGGCTGTTGTGCACACCGTGGTGTTAAAAAACTGACACGA